TGCTCTGTGTTCCTTTCCTGATAAGAAATCTGGTTTGCCATTCAGTCACTGAGCTCAATTAGTTCTCTCTGATGTACAATACTCTTCTTTCTAGTTTCTTTCTTAGTTTGCAAATGTCCCATGAAAAAATTCTTAATTTATTATTACAGTGATTTTCAAATAATTCAGAAACCTGTCTTTTCATGGTGTCCTAGGTGCAGTAAAGACTCTCTGTAAATACTCAGTTAATCATTCCTTCCTGTACTTGCAAGTTCATGTAAAAGAACCAAGAGGAACTAACATTTGCTGAAAATCTTTTCACGGCAAAGTGTTTGCATGTATAAATACATGCAGAGAGGAACATGATGTATATAAATACAATGAGATTCTTTTCCCGCAAGATCCAATTACTGGGGATTCATGTAGTACATAGTCAGATACTTAAGTAATGTTTTGGAGAGCTGACTCACTATGCTTGTGCCTGAAATCTGCTGCTGGGTAGTTTGTCACGTATTTAATCTGTAACTAATTTTTTCATGACTACCATTGTGCATGGTGCACTAGTGTCAGATAGCAAAATCCTTCCTCGCGTTTGGTCTCGTGCTCATCTCTAAGTGGTGGCCACACGTATCAGCTGCCTGTCTGAACTTCCCCTGGTCGCACATAGCTTGGTAGTAAGTAGTCTTTTTGTCCCGTTTGACCTTCACCCCACACCCTGCCGCCCCCTTTAAATTTTGAATTCTCTTTCTTGATTATCTCTTGAGCAATGAAATAATCAAAATTGTGGTTCTGGCCTATCCTCTTTAATTTTCTTTCTGCTGTAATATTACAGTGTCATTAGACTGTGATGACTTTGAGAATTTCTCTGATGGAGTGTCTGGAAGTGCTTAATTTCTGTCCAGTTTTGAGAGGAAGTTCCACTTGAGCCTGTTACAGGTTCTGGGTTTAGACAGGACTGTTCAGCAGACTGATCTAAGCCAAGTGTTCAGCGTGAGTATTCCCTTAGTTTCCTGCTTGCAAATAGGCTTAGGAAGTGTATTTCTTTTCTGAAAAATCGTTTTGAAGATTGTGAAGCTGAAATAAAAATGCATGAGGCTCAAATGGATACCCAGAACTGCACTTGTAATGCCCTACTAGTGCTGTTGGGGGGGGGGGAACCCGCCCCAAAACAGCCTCTAGGGCCGAGGAGGAGGGACCTCCATCCCAGGTAGGCTGCGCTTGCTTAGTTTGTCAGAAAGAAATTTGGTAACTACATCTAGTAGAAGTGAGATCTGTATACAGATTGTCTGTATTCCTTTTAGCATCTATCTGTAGGACATATCAAAATGGTTGGAAACTGTTCAGCAGAAAGCTGCTGGGGATGTAGGATAGAGGAATGTATGCCTGGTGACCCTCCCATAAAGAGATTTTCTTTAATTGCTGGCTTGGAACAATAAAGCAAGGTCTTGATTTCATATCTTTGAAATGTATTGTCATTACTGAATCCAGTGAGACTGAATGGATTTTGGGTTGTTGGTCCGAACTCTAGAAGCTGAAACAGGCATAACGTGGTATCATACAATGCACAAAAGCTTAGATTTGCGTCCTGTACATCATAAATGCTAAGCAAAATTTTGCTACTTCATTCCTTTCCCAGTGCTTTCAGTAGCAGTTCTCTTCATTATTTATTTCATACCTTTTCTTTCTCCCTGCATTCCAGACCTGGATCTTGTGAAGTTTTTGTGTAGGTAGTAAACATTTTGTGTATTTAAAGCAAAAGGAAAAATAAATCTTATGTAAAAATCCCATACCTGACATCAAAGTTAAGTGCGTGTCTACCTAATGTATTTTGAATTTCTTAGGATTTAGATGAATTCAGGTTATTAAAACATTCTATGTGGTAGTTTGGATTACCAGCTTTTCAGAGCATGGTACTGTCCACTTATAAATATTGTCTAGAAGATAGAACAGAATATTTTCAGTTGGAAGGGACGTCCAGTGATCATCTGGTCCAACTGCAAGATTTTAGGTGCTAACAGAATACAGGCATTGATAAATAGCAGTTGATAGAATGGAAATGGCAGCGAATGCCCGTTTTCTGTTGCATTTTTTTCACTGGCTCTTTGTTTTCATTGCCGGTACCTCTGGGTTTCATCTCGGACGTGACCATGGCAGAGTTAACCAGAAGGCCTTTACTGAAGGGAATGGTGTTCTGGGGGTTGTTTCAGTCTTCCTCTTTCCTCCCTGCCCCCCTTCACAGCTGCCTCTCAAAATTCCCTTTTCTTTTTAGCAGGTATTCAAGGACATCTCCGTCAGGGTTTTTTTTTCTACCTGATTTTTGGGAAAAGCTGTAGAAAACGCTGACCGTAGCAACAAAGACTTTCTTTTTGGCACAGCCCGCTCAGCTCCTTCGCCTCTTTTGACCCTGTCCTTGAACTGGGAAACTTAGAACTACAGACACGAATGATTTGTTTTATTGCACAGTGAACCATCCTTCCAGTAAGTGGGTGGAAAGGAGTCAGCGAGGCAAAGAAAGTGAGAACACAGGGAGAGTGCCACCATTACACAAGCTTGGAAATGTTTTTTCAGACATGAGGTGGGTGATGGTAAAGCTGCCTTTGGAACTATGACTTAACAAAGATACGTTTATATCACGTGAGGTAGAAAAAAGAAATGTGTGTGTATGCTTGCGTTTAATACCATTTTACAGATGCATATATAGCTACAAAGATGCATGCACACACACAGAAATATTGAATAGTTAATGCTGCATTTGCCGCGAATCATCTATAGCATCTAACACAGCAGAGGGTCTTTTTCCGCCCCCGCCCCCCCTCTGTCTGGCTATGTCTTCCATTCCCTTAAATGGGGTCACCACTGGAACCATTTATAATGCTTAATAACACAATTGATTTTTCTTCTCTAAAAGTGTGACCCGCCAGCGTAGCCTTTGTCCTGACGCCTGATAATAATACGTGATGTTCCTGGCAGCACGGGATGTGAGTGCGGATGTTCTGCAGGCATCAGAAAAAAAAAAGCAGGCTCAGTGCGATGTCTAATGCCGTCGGAGGCATTTCGTTTGCTGCAGATCAATGTCTGCTTTGAAGCAGAATAATTAAGGTGATTTTGTTCCTTTTGAAATGGGTTCTCAAAATTAGGTTTTTATTGTCCGAGGCTTAATAAGGGGCTAGATAGATAGGCATGAGCATCTTGTTAAATTCATGGATGCTTAACACTTTCAAAATTCAGAGCATTAAGGTAGGAACCTAACTTTAGGCAGCCACTTTAATGGTGATGGTTAATATGGTTAAAGCTATCTGTCTGTTCTAGAGCACCTTTGCTGCAGTGCTTATCCTGAGATAACTTTTAAGGAAAACGTTATTCTCTTCACTGCCATATTATACCTGGAACATAGGAAACAGTACTGTTCATTCTGCAGAGCTCCTGTCTGAAACTGTCATCCTACCAAGATGAGAGAAACATTTCCGTGGACTTTGTTTAGTCATTGAAGGTTGGATGGACATATTGTTTATTTGTTGTTGTTGTTACTTTTGTTGTAAGTAAATCAGAATTTCTAGGGTTGGTGCAGAAATTGCCAGATAAGGGTCTGCGTGATGCAGATGAGTCAATAATTCCTTGTGATCTGGAACTCTGTGAATTTAATACTGCTGCGGTGTCGGACTGCACCTTGCTAGGTAGCTGCAGAGCCGGTGCTGTTCCTGAGGGCTTGGACCACTCTTTTGTCCACTTACCCTTCGTGTCGCAGTGGCATTGACAGCAAGTACGGCAAAGGACGGTTAAGCATGCTAAATGTGTAATCCAGTTGTCTTTTAATGCGAGTTGACAGCTGCTGGCAAAGTGGGTTGAAAAAGGACTTCTGCTGCAGATCACAGTCTGAAGAACTCCCAGTGCCTACAGCTCCTTCTCACATGATTTATTCAGCTCTGTTCGGTGTGAGAAGCACCATATTCCTTTACTGAGCTAGCTCATTGTAATGCTTGCTAATTTTCCACAATGTTGCTTGCTTATTAACAAAAATTTTAGAACGGCAACGGTATACAGGCTTATGTTATTTACTACATCTGTGCGTGATAATATTAGCATATTTATTGGTTGGTGCAAAAGTGCATTTTTATATAGCTAATTTAGTAGTACCTACCAGCACTATGTCTTAACTAAGAGCTGAAGTACATTTGCAATATGATGTTTTAACTTGCTGTCCTGGAGAAAAAATATGAAGTTAGCTTTTGAGAAGAACACACCACACCCCGTGCTTTCATTTTTCATTCTTCAGGGGCGATTTCCAGCTGCAAGGAGGTAAATAGTTTCTGGGTGTCATCAGGAGGCACGGAGTCAGGGCATGGCTGAGGCTGGAAGGTGCCTCTGGGCACTGACTGGTCCCGTGCCCCTGGTCACGGCAGGTTCCTCAGGACTGTGCCCGGTCGGGATTTGAGTGTCTCAGAGGATGGAGGTTCCAGGGAATATGTATTATTTTCTTTGTAGGTTCACTCTGATGTTTTAACTTTATAGCAGTTTACTAACTCAGTAGGTGTATTTAGGCCTGTTAACCTGCTGCTCTTCCTGTTGTATACGTCGCTAGATCTACTCGGGAATTTTCCAGGTTCCTGAAACTTGAAACATCAGCTCATAGTAGCAGTGTTGTTTATTAGGGTATATGGCATCATCTGGGACTCAGGTTTATCTGTTTCTGGACCAGTTGTGTGTCCTTATGAAAGCTTCATCTGTGTACTCTGTCGGTCCTCTCCAGTGAATTTCTTTTCTGTTTAGTGTTCAGTGTTTTGGGTGCATGGATGGGTGTGAGGAGGGCAACAGTGAAATCCTGGAGATTCTCTAGTGCCATATGTGGGAAGTAAGATGTTTGCCTTGGAGGCTAGTTTAGTCTTGTTTAAGTCTAGAAATATTATTGAATATGAACCTCTGATCTCTGTTTCTTAGGAAAGATACTTTTTGTGAGTGAGCAATTCTCTTTTCAGTAACTTCTTGACGCAAAGACAACTAAGGCTATTGCTGTTGTCTGACAGGGATTGATGGCCCGGCTGCTTTTCAAGATGACGTTCAGAAGATAGGAAGTCAAGTGCAGATCCTCACTGTTGGACAGTCTAGCCACGATGAAGATGATGGAGAGAAAACGGCTAGTGGCCAACAACAGCAAAGCAAACAAGATCTTAGAGCAGCAATGCAGAAAAAAGGTAAGTAGCCAAAGCTACCTTCATGTTCTCATTGCTTGGCCTGGCCTAAGAAGAGATTTTTACTCTGTGTTTCATCTCTTCAGAGCATGTGAGGCTCTGTTCTATTACCAAAAAAAAAAAAAATTTCTCTCTCATCCCAAGGAACAGAGCTCTCCAGGCTCTCAGGGATGTGGCTTTCCCATCTGCAGTGCAGTGCTGCTATTAAGGTACCACGCAGATGCTCATATCCATCTGTTCACATTTTTAGATTATGCAACTCTGGAATTCACTTACTTGAGGGTTAAAAAAAGAGTAGAGAATAACAACATTCAAACCAGGATATTTATTTTAGTTGTGTTGCCGTTAAACATTGTGTCGTTTTCACAATGTGTCTTCATGCATGCATGCTTGCAGAAGTGAAAATTACAGCACTGTGTATTTTGCAGCATTTTCCGTGCATTCCCATTCCTCAAATGTTCTGGAATATTTCTTTTTTTTTTTTTTTTTTCTTTCTTGAGGCATGCATGATTTGGGAGATAGATTGTGTATGTACACATTCATGCATCTGTCTCTTCCTTCCTGTGCTGTTGTTATCTCACGTTAGACGTTAACTGTAGGAAGCAAAAAAATCCTAAAATCCTCACAAAGCTTTCTCTGAAGGCATTTGCTCAGGAGATGTTCTTCTTCAGTGTACAGCTTTTGAAGAAAAGATGGCTCAAGCCAAAATGCTCTGATGCTTTAAGAATAAACTCTTTGTGTATAAAGAGCAAAATGTAAGTGCAAACTTGACTCATCTATAATAGACTATTCATACCTAAATGCCCAGCTCTTGTCTGCAGAGCAGTTCTCACTAAGGTTCATTTTTTCTGGGACGTTACTCTGCAGATGTGAACAACTTCAACTGAAATGGGCAGATTTTCTCCAAGTGTGGTATTTCCTGGGCATTTCAGGCGGAGGGATGTTGGCATGACTAACAAGTTCTGATCTGTGTGGTGATTGTGTTGCCTTAGACCATGGCTCAGAATATTTAATCATCAGGCACAGTACTTACTAAAGCTGATTGACTTAAAAACTATCAACAGACTTCTCAAATTAGGTCAGAGCACTCAGATTTTTACTCTGGGGGATGTTTCTATATTTGATGTTTTTCCAGGTTAAGATACATTTTTATTCTCTCCAATTTTTTGTTTATTTTTTAAATAGAAGCAGTGGGTGGGATTTTTTTGTTTTGATTTGGTTTTGTTGTTTTATATTCTTAAATATCTGATGTGACCTTTTTTTACCCAGGTCTGAGTATACTCCTGATCAGAACAGACACTGCTTAGAGTAGATCACTAGTATGCTTCAAGGCTGGGCAGGGAGCGCTTTTTTTTTTTTTTTTTTCTTTTTAATGGGAATGCTGAGATTTACTCATTTTTATTAACAACAGAGCTATGCTCTGTGAGACACAAATCAAGGTATCAAGACTAGACTGTAACTAGCAGCATCTCCACAAAACACTTTTACTATGCATGTATGGTTTGCCGCTCGATACCAACAGAGGAGGCTTGTTAGAAAGTTTTGAGTATCCTCATGTTCATGGGAAACTTTATGTAGAGCTCAGGCTTTTCATATGGAGTCCTGCTGCTGCTTCACTACTTGTGGCGTGTCCTTACTGGCATGTCCCCGCTGTCTGGAAAGCATTTAGAATTGCTGTCTCCCATCAGTCCTTCTCTTGCATGGAATAGGAGCAAAAGGAGAAGAACACAGAGATAAATGCTAACTGGCCTAATCAGAAATGCTGCGTCCCATTAGATTTGCGTAGCCCTGATCTGTGTCCACCCTGCTCTTTGACGCTAACTTTGTGGAGAGAAGCCTCTCTCGGCACGTGTCTCCGCTTCCCCAGCTAAAAGACAAGAGTTTATAGGCTACCTGTGTGTGAAAAGAATATGCCGCTTGCAAGAAAATGCCAAATGTTATATTTGATTTCTCCATCTGTTGGAAATTGCCATACTAGAATCATTTTCCTCCTGCAGGAAATATTTGTCCTTTTAATTTCAAAGTTTTAATGTGTAGAGATCCTCTCTGGCAAATGAATCATTAGGACAGAGCCAGACTTCCTGAAGTTTTAACACTGAATAACTAACATTTAGTCTTCATGTTTATCAGTTTCCTGTATGTTTCTGTAAAGAAGACTTGGAACGAGCAATTTGGTCTTAGTTCTTCTTTGCCACCTGAAGTTACAACTGTTTTGAGATATAGGGAAGGAATAGATTTGATTTCTGGGTTGAAAAACAAAACAGGAGCTGTCTGAGCATTCTTCTCCACAGGTCCCGAGTGCAGACTTTTCTAAGGCTGGCACAGAATTTTCACCAGCGGAATAATGGTGGTGCAATAATGAGCACGGATGTGAAAACGAACTGGTTACATCTGTGCATATGCAAGTCTGGCTTTATTGCACAGCTGCCAGCTGAGGAGGTGGATTGTCTCTATTACCCGTGCATAGTTGACTAGAATGTGGTTGTCATTATCAAGAAATAATGCTTGCGATTAATGAGCGTGTGATTAATAATGAGTGAGTTCTACAGGCTGTGAAAATATCTGTTGACCTGTGAGCTCAGGCATCCCTTGCACAACCAGATCCTGTTGAAACTTTTTGCTGTTGCACTGTGCGGTGTATGTCCAGATTGGGGGAACTGGCGAAGTGGATAATGAGACCATTTGTGGGGCAGCTGAATGGAATACAAGCATTGCATATGCTTCTGTTTTATACGCTCGCTCTTATTACTCTGGTGGTGTTTCATTATCCAGAGTGCATCTGGTGTCAAAAGCTATTTTAAAGGGATATACATTGAAGTTACTGGAAGCAGCAATAACATAAAAAGTACTTAAATGCATTATTTGATGTCTTTTTTTTTTTTTCTCATGCCATTCCAAAATTTGAACTGTAGAAAACCATTATTGATACTATCTCTAATGTTTATGCTTCTCTACATTAGTTTGGTTCAGTCTCTGCTTGTTGCAGACCAAGCTCACATTCCGAAAGACTAAGCTACGTGAAAGTCTCTATGCGTGTCTGGAAGTCCTGGAAAAACAGTTTAGAGAGCCTGAGAAAGATGAGGACACACTGGGCACAGGGATTTAGGCAGAATTTAGGCCATGTGAATATGAGTCTGAATACTTTTTTCAACGTTACTGAACAAATATTTCTGTAGAATCTGTCTATATCACTTGTGTTGATCAGTTTTATTTTTTTTGTGCGTTAGAATTCCAAAGTAAGCCAAAAACCCACCATGGAGGGCACATCATGCACAGAAGGATTTGTGGCACAACTGTTTAGCGTGGATGATGTTTTCTGAAGCTTCAGCTCTGTGATCCAGGGCTTTTTGACTTTATTCAAAGTACTAAAAAAGAAGGTGACAGCAGGTAGAAGTAGGTAGCAGGTGAATTTGATTGTGCAGAAAGATAAAATATGCATAATCGAGAATTCTGGCAGCAGCATTATGGTCCCATCCAGTAAATCCTTAACCCTGTGCGGAGTCCTGTTGACAAGTTAGGCTTGTTCACTCAATTAAGGGTTTGCAGAATCAAGCCCATGGATTTTTTCCTTTCCCAGATCCCCATGCAAATACATCCTGGTCCTCTTCCACCTCCCAATCCAGTCTTGTCGCCTTGGACCATGTTCCTGGTAAGTACAGAAGGAAAAAGTTAATTATGCCCATGCTGCTTGGCTCTGGAAATCTTTGCGTTTCATTTATCCTTCTGCATTGGACTTACCAATAGTGGAAATACTGGACCAAGTGTTTTATTTTTTATTTAGGAAAAGAACATTGCGTAGTTAGCCTCTAATATGTGGAACTTGGAGTTTCAACCTGAGTACAGGGTGGCTTCATCTGCATGATACTCCTTGAAAAACTAGGCCTGGCAAATGTCCCACCATTGATGCTTCCTGCTGCTAAGTCCTGTTTGATGTTCAAAGTTGTGTTTCCCTTTGAAATGTCTGGGGCTTTGAGTTCTTGTAAAGTCAAATTTTTAACTGCTGTAAGGCAGTTCCTTTGGCCGGGACTGATACTGATTTTTTACATGAAATAAATATACATGAGAACATTTCCTTGATGTGACGGTTTCTTCTCAATGCAAGATCTGCTCTTCTTCAGATCACATAGGAACAGTTAAAAGTGTGCTGTAGAAGGGCTCGTATTTTGATTGTTGAGGTTTCCAAATGGCTGTGATAGGTTGTCCACTCAACTCCAATTTCAGGTTTAAGATTCTGTGTTGTTTTTGAAGTACTTAATTGGATTAAGAAGATCTGAATTTAATTCCTGACTGGATATTGCTCCTCTATCACTGGGTAACTCGATAGGCTTTGGCTTTTTCAAAGTTCCACATTCCTCTCTGTGGAATGGAAGCCATGATATTTCCTTTCTCACTTGCTGAAATGTTGTGGCTTCTTGGGGCAGGTACTGTCTCACCCACGTATTTGTACACTGCCTCGCACAGTGAACCCCCCTCGCACACACCCTCTCTCACCTGTCACACCCTCTCTCACCTGTGAGCCTAAGGCTGCAACGCTGTCATAAGTGATATCGTACAGCAAGTATGGACAGCTTTAATGTATTAGCATTTCATAGAAGTGCACCGCTTTCTCCTCAGGCATTTCTAGCAGCATGAATTTTGATGAGGAAGAGGATGAGGAAGATGAAGACAGCTCCAGTTCTTCACAGTTAAACAGCAACACCCGGCCCGGTTCTGCCACAAGCAAGAAATCCAACAAGGTAAGGGGTGAGTGCCGAAGCAGGAGCACGCCGGCTGCTGCGCGATTTCAGAGCGCAGCGGGGATAGGCCTGGCTTGCTTGTTTGCTTTTTAATATGCACTAGAGTATCTCCAAGGTGATTTACTTTGTGATGGGTTCACAGGAGCAAGCAATGAAAATAATGACTTGGAGAAAAGAATAGCAAATGTTGTCTGAACTTGAATGAAGAGGAAGGTAAACAGTAAATATTTACCTTTCTCCCTCTTGCAGGTGCTCAGAAGGATCTTTTGTTTCTGTTGCCTTTTTCTGAGCATTTTCCCACCCTGCTCTCACTGCTACCATCCGAACATAAAATAAGGCTTTGGCTTGTTCAGATATTTTAAAATATTCTAAATCACGAGCCCCTGCTAAAGGTGTTGATGGTGACCCGTTACATACTGCACTGACTTCTCATCTCCGTTATATCTCTATATCTAGCTCAATCTGCCTGTCCCCATCCCCTTTCTCCTTTCCGCAAAGACCATCGCTGTCCTTGGGTATGGCCTTTCTGAAAAGAGAAGTGTGGTGAGGTGGGAAGGTGTGAGACAGGCTTGGCTCTGTAACGTTACAGCACTCTGCTTGTGCGGCCGCCCTGTCCCTCCTCGCCAGGCGTGTCTGTACGCTGAGCATCCGCGGCGCAGAGAGCTGCTCCCTGGGCCACAGGTGGCCAAGAGCTTGACCGACTGGATGGGGATTGATCCTTAGCTTGATAAGCTGCCTTCAAGGCTGCTGAGGAATCATAATGGGGAAGACAATATGTCCCTTGTATTTATTTTTTTAAAAGTGCAGCTTCCATCAAGTGTCATTCCTTTGTACTTATAACCTTGTAAATCAAAGTCGAGGAAATCTGAGTTTTCCTTACCATTTTAGGAAGCTGCGTCAGCCCCCAGTCCTTCCACAAATGAGCCTCTCATAGATGTCGATGACCTCGAGGAATTTGCCATAAGACCTGCTCCTCAGGGCGTCACCGTCAAATGCAGAATCACAAGAGACAAGAAGGGAATGGACCGAGGGATGTACCCTACTTATTACCTCCACTTGGAAAGGGAGCATGGTAAAAAGGTCATAAAATAACTTGAATGGCATACCAGTTGCATCTGAATATAAAAAAATTATTAAAAGTCTGAAGAACTCTTACAAAGAAAATATAATCTTATATTTTAAATATATTTTTACTTTCACTGAGATCTGCCATACAGTCTTACAAAAGCAAAACAATAGTATCCCTTTGTTCTACTGCCTTTCTTCATATGTCTAATCTTTGGCCTTAAATAATCCATGCGTGGCACCTTTATGTGACAGCTGCATTCTGTGGCCTGAAAAGCATCTCTTTTCAATTCAACTGGAAGAGCCAGAGCAACTTAGAATGAAATATGTAACAAAATAGATCAAATTTAATTATTTAAACCATAAATAATGGACTGAATGGTTGAGAAGTCACTTTCCCTTTCCAGATTTTTATCTGGTTTTGCTAAGTGCCAGGAGCCCTTCAGTTACTTCTCTAATGATGCTGGAAGACAGAAAAATTGCCTATGGTTTCCTTATATCAAAGCAGGAAGTGGTGTGTGCTAACCCCTTTGGCATTCTAGAATATGTTTTTTTGCACTGCTTAGGTGTTTCTGTTAGCTGGAAGGAAACGAAAGAAGAGTAAAACCTCTAATTACCTCATCTCCATAGACCCAACTGACCTGTCTCGGGGTGGAGAGAGTTTTATTGGAAAACTGAGGTAAACACTGATACATCTAAGAATTTTCTTTATATAATATAAAGTTCATTTGGGATGAGGAAGCCACTGTGACTTCTTAATTAGAGGCTTGACTACATTGTGTGATAACGCTCTTAAAGTTCACTAGTATCCAAGGCGTGTTTTCCAAACATCTTAAGTACTTTTATAAGATCCCATTTTCTTAAAAGTCAGCAGGACTGAAGCTCGTAAATGCTCAAAGGCCAGATTCTCAAGAACGTATGAGCACAACTTACCTTAACGGGGTTTTCAGAAGTGCATGAGTAGATTGTGTCTAGCCCCTGTTGATATAAATACTTTGGAATAGAAGTTCTGTCTGTTAGGCAATCTGAAAATCTCTTTGGCTTTGCCCAGTTCTTAAGATCCTGATTAGAGTTATTTACAAGTAGTGGAATTTGTTCAGAACCACTTGTTTCTTTTCTGTCTGTCACCCCATCATCCATCAGTCTGTCATTGATACCTACATGGAGCCTCTCAGCGTATGTTTAGATTGTCTGTGCCTGAGGAAAAGGACTGTGCTGCTAATTGCTGTTTGCCTGTGTGGGTTTCGGATCTTTATGCGCTATTTATTGCAGTGCAAACACAGAATGAGGATAATGTGGTTTTAGTACGTTCTAAGTTGCATTTTGCGCTCCTTGGTGTGATTTCCATTTAAATAGGGAAGACTGATCTTATTTATAACGTTATGAAAATCACTCTCTGTATTCTAATAGAGTCAGTAGTCAGGTAAGAAAGCAGATGGTTTTGTAGAGAGTAAGCATATTTTAAAAACCAAGCCAACAAACAAAATAACCCCATCTGAGTGTTTCCTTATTGCTTTCTTGAGTTTACCAGTTTGCTAGATGGCCTGAGAATTCTCCAGTGTAATGATAAGGGACCTTTAGTATACTCTGCTGTACTGTACCTTTACATTTTTTTTATGGCCATTAATCCAGGAGTTGCCATTTAGTTGGGATTAGAATTAACAACTATTTATACTCGGTATTATTTGTCTTTCCTTTGGGGCTACGCTGCAGTAAAGGATAGATGTCTCTGGCAGCATTACTGACCAATGGTGATTGAATTTTCCTTTTTTTTTTTTTGTTTTGATAGATCAAATCTTATGGGAACTAAGTTTACAGTTTATGACAATGGAGTAAATCCAATGAAGACAACATCAAGCCTGGAGGCGAGTATCCTGCGTCAGGAGCTAGCTGCCATTTGTTACGTAAGTACTGCTCACGGGCAGAGGAGGCAAGAAAGGGCAGTTCAGTTTCTGAAATAGCACGCTGAATTCCCTTCTCACTTACGATTATGTAAATCAGCATTCATACTTTGATGTAATCAAACAGCTGATCTTCAGGAGAGAAACCAGGAAATTCAGTGGAAAATAGAGGTGAAAAACGCCGTGCACAGAACCAGGTTGCCCAGTTCTCGCTTTTGGTCAGAAGGTGTTGGAGCTTTTACATAACCCTCTGGAAGAGGTAGGATGCTTCACAGCCTGCAGGCACCCTCCGGGGGAGCCTCCTGACCTGGAAAGAGCTGTGCACATGGAATTGCTGCACTAAAGTACCGTCGTTTGTAATGGCATTCTGGAGGAGGCCTCTCTGATCCAAAACACGGGTAGCTGGAAAACTGGGTCTGTAGCACTAGCTGAGAACTGGAGTAAAAACTCTAAAACTCCTTTTTACTGGGGAAAAAAAAAAAGCAAACAGACCCCAAACAAAATCCCAAATTCAATTGAACGAGAGAAACCACCCTTTTATAGGACAGTAAACAGCATTTGTCAGGGGCAATGCAGACAATCAAGACTTGAAGCACAGTTGCTGTTTCATGATTACTGGATGACTGACTGGTTTTGGTGGGAGTATTCTTTCTGTCCAGAAATCTCTGGGCCCAAGAAACTCTGCCAGTCAAAATTGGTATATACACTGCTACAGAAAGTTTCCTCTTTTCACAAATCAACAACTTTTGACAAAAAATACCCAAGAAACACTTTTCTGAGAAGTTCCTGCCTGGCTCTAATCAAGGATACCTCAGACCAAGGTCCAGCCATCCCAGCAGACACCCTGCGTACGCACAGAATGCGTTCCTGGAAAGGTTGGCTTCAGGATGCGGGGACCAATGCGTCCGGAAGCTTTTGGCACGTGAAAAGGAAAGCAGAGACCCATCCTTTCCGTGCAAAGTGCTAAGAGCACTGAGGGGTGGCAGTAGTAACTGCTGAAGTGTTCTTTTCCTGCTGCTTAGGATGCAGTTTTTCTGCAAATATAGTATAAATAGCCTATTTGTTCGCGCGTGCTAGTGTTCAGGCACGTGGCCTACGGCTGTAGACAAACAGACAGACACACTTGTACCTCTCCATTCCGGTTGGATTTGAAAAACTCTGAGAATTGCAGAAAATCCAGCTCACAGGATTTACCAAGAAAGTCCAGGATTTGATGTCAGTCTAGAGTTTGACTGAAGTTTCAGTAGGAACCTAGGAGAACTTACATGTTTAATAAAAGGTGATTTTACTGGTTTATATAGGAGGGCATTCCCTGGAGCTAGGCAACTAGTCTTCTGGTGCAAACTGGAAATACAAGGAGAAAACAAAAAATAGTTTAAAAAAAAGTTATATATTAAAATTTAGGCATTGCTTGTCCAAGATGGCAACAATGACATTTGAACCATTATCATTACCAAATAAAAAACTCAGTTGTGGTCAGCAGAGGTAATTAGAAGCGTGAGTGTTGGAAAGAACAGAACCATGGCCACTGTTTGGAGAATGTGGTGAAGATTAGCTGCTTTTATAGGCCTGGTTTGAGATCAGCAATTTAAAACTTGTGTGTATAAGAAAACGACTCGTTCCCTTGATGTTTTGATACTCATGGAGAAAGGCAGCAGGCTTGCAGGTGTGCTATGGCCAGAGGATAAGAGGAGATCAAAATGGCATTTCGTTGCTAGCCAGGTTTGTTAAAGTGAGATTATTGTTCCTGGCTGCAGCAGAACCACAGCAAAGAATGCCAGAAGGAGCACTCCCGAAACACCCTTGTCCTAAGGTAACCTTTTAATTCCTGCCTTGAGATTTTTTCCTGCAGCAAAAACTATATTAAGCAATACTTTGAAAGCACCGCTATGCCTCTCACTGTCTCTCAGCTCATCCGATCCAGTACCCATCTGAAGAGCGAGCTGTACCCCCTTCCACCAACTCACTGAGCCCAACCTGCCTGAAGCATCTCAGCAGGTCTAGTTTAGACGGGCAGGAGCCAGTGATGCATCTATTAACTGTGGGATAAATGTGTTGAGAACTCTCATTTAGGGAATAAAGTTAGTGCAAGGACGACGTTTTATGAGGTGCTGTTAGACATTTTTACTCTCCGCACTGATGGCGGGCTAGCGTATTAATAAACCTGCAGCAGCACCTAATGGCCGAGTTCAGAATCGCTTGGCAGAATTTGTCGAGAAGCAGGGAGGTGTAAACGTACCATTTGTACCAGGACTATCTGCGCTGGATTCCTTTATAGCCACAGTATCTCACAATTCAGTTTGCGTCGGGTTCTGCAGGCAAGGAGCTCAGCTGATACGCTGAGTAATAAACTACGTGTTTCTACTCAGGCTTCAGTCCCTTGCGTTGTGCCCCCATGTGTAGTGGGTTCTGTGGTTTGGGCTTCCGAGGGAATGATAGTTTCTGCAGGATATATTAAGGACAGGGCACAGCTGTGTGAATCCAGTCCAGAAAGAGAAGTGGCTGAAGGAATATTGGGGTAATTAAATCGCAAAATCTCCTGGGAGCTGTTGGGATATACACCTTGCAGCTTTTATCATGGCAGCTATTGCCACCATAGCGAAACACTCGCATCATTTTATGGAAGTGGGTAAGATTTTCAAAGCAACCCAGGGGAGAGGCTCTGTGCTTTCCCAGTCGGGTTTATCGTGATGCCTGCTCACGAACCGCTCACCGGTGGGGCCGAGGCAGAGTGCAGCTTCGAAGCAATGCTGGGCCAAATCCTTCGCTGGTTTAAACCCTTGGCGTGCTGGTTGAGCCCACAGGGCTCTGCCAGCTAACAACCCTTATTTTGAGCTGTAAACCAAGGCTGTCAGTGGCATTAAAATGGTGTGAAATCAGATTTTGTCCCATGTTTCCCTAATAATGCCATTTGTAGTCTTGAATTTACATGCACAAAATTGTGGAGGAGGGAAATAAAAGAGAAGCAGGGAATGAGACAGGAGATAAGGGGAATTAATTTTATTTGGATGTAGGTAAATTGGAAAGGTCTGTTTTTAATTAAAGCTCCTCTTTTGTCCTTACTGTTTGCCTCAGATGTGCCACGTATTTCAATTCTCTACCTTGATTTTAGCAAGAGGGTAGCACTTGCCAATAAAACATTTGATATCGTTGGTGTCTGATGTAATATGCAACTGGAAACCATTCCCTTATCATTTGGCAGAAGTATTGATTTAGTGTTTCTGAGTAAATCCAAAGAATATAGTCCTGTTCTTTCAGAGTGATAATACCACTTGTTGGGAGGGAAGTGATTCAGCGCTATTATTTAATTTTACCTTGAACAATGTCTTCAACCAGTCAGCATCTAAATTAATCGTATGTAGCATAACTGCAGCTCGACAAGAAGAAAAGCTTGTAAGGCATTGCAGAGAAGACCAAAATTGTCAGCAGTTAGTGGAAAATAAGCATAAGCATGAATCTTTTCTTAGACATTGTCCTCTGCTGTGCTGAGTCTCTCCTGCTTATAAAATCTGCTGCCAGTCATTTTAGTTTGAGTCTCACCATGATGCAGAACCAAGTATGTATTTCCAGCTGGTTTACTCTGCCAAAGGCCATGACAGAAGTGATTCAGAAAACAGGTAGAATCTTCCCGTTATGAAGATATATGAACATACCTGGATTGCTTCAAGAGTATTCCGTAAAATAACTCTTGCGTGCATGAAAATCTTTAATGAGTTGTGTAAAACCTCCAGGTGTTTTGCTGAAACAACCAAAGCTCTTTCAAAGGTCTGATGGATGACAAAGCTTTTGCACGAGTGAATTTTAGGTGGCTATTTTCAGATGTTTCCAGTGAGTTGAGATGTGTGGATTTTTGCTTGCGAAAATAGAGATGTTTAAAAAAGTTTAATGTTCCTCAAAATCAGGACACTTTTATTAAATATATAAAAGCAGAGACATCTGAATATGTCACTGCTGAATGTCCTGGTGGTAGAGCCACACCAGCGGGAGCCTGGAGGTGTCCAGTTCTTGGCATCTTGCGATACGTTGCTGGGAATAGCACCAATGGGAATTTCCTTCCCAAGATTCCTTAGTGTCTGTCCGCAGCCCTTCACTTGGGAAAGGTAGAGGAGAAAAATGCATGCGACAGGGGGGAAGAAAAAAAAAAAAAAAAGGCAGCACAAAACACGAGGAGATGGACTTTCCGAGGTGTCGCTGTTTCGTTTACTGGAGATAATGCTAAAATAGGCAATCAGGTTTTACCGAGAGGGTTGGAAAATATCGCCCTTTACTTTTTCAAAAGTAGACAACGACCTTTTGAAATATTTGACCCCAGTTTCTTCTGTGGAAGAAAGAATGCCTCAGATAAAAATGAGACTTCAGGCCTATTTAGATTTTAGTGGTTGTGTTTTGAGAGGATAGTGCAATACTGGAATGTTGTTATGCAAAGCTGGTCAGAAAGCCATCAAATGGTGTTTAATGGAAGAACTTGTCTTTTCCACAGATTTGTTTTTGCTGCCCATGTTATTTCTTCACTATCCCTGCCTTCATAGCTCGAAAATTTGCATTCATGCTAATGTGTTTGTTTTTTACCGTGCTCTTCTCTAAGCATAACATATCTGAAGACTTTGAAAACCACAGCACTGCTAACAGATGCTCTTACTGGCAGCTCCTTCTTGTTTGCTTTTGTGCTGGCGCTGGAATAAATGGAGCTGGTCCCATCTATTTAATTTTGTCTCTCATCAAAATGTGTGACTACATTTTATGATTTTTAAATTACAACTATTTTATTTTGGGATCTAGCAGTAGCCAAGCAATCTGGTTAGTTCATATCCTTTTTTAACAAAGGGCTTTTTTTTTTAAATTGTATTAAGGTTGCTGGCAGCCAATGCTAGGAGTGTTTTTGGAAACCTCTCTATTTCCATTTTTCCTGTTGTCAGAGCTTCTAAGACAAAGCTAGAATGTTTGGCAGTGCCAGTGAAGGTAGGAGTCTCAAGATGTTTTTTAAGTTGACTAACAAATAAGTTCCCTGGGCTGCTGCTGTGTCTCTCTGTTGAAGAAATTAACTTTAAAAATACAGAACATGATGAACTCTTTTCTAAACATTTTTAGGAAACAAATGTCTTGGGGTTTAAAGGACCTCGTAAAATGAGTGTGATCATACCAGGAATGAATATGGACCACGAAAGAGTTTCCATCAGACCACGAAATGTAAGTCATACCCTCAGTCAACAATAAAAATTACTTGAATTCTTTTTCAATTAGAGTTGTTTTTTGCATTTCTGAAGGTTTAAAAACCAGTATTTGAACAATTGCAGAACAATGGGATGTGTGACTAGTTTTGTGACTCACAAAAGCACTACAAATAATAATGTATTTTGGTAACAAAAGATACAACTAACCTTTTTCCAAGCTGTGGAAAGGACTCGAATGCACATTTGCATGAAGATACTCAGAGTTCTCTGTTTCATTTGATGATACTGTGCTGAGAGTTGAGGGTGGCAGTTTAGTCTTTGGGCTAGGATTTATGAACGTGGGTTTTTTGTGTGAATTTATTTTTTGTCTTGTGAGTGTGTTAAAGTGAAGTGTGTCTGTGTGGTGCGTGCAGGAACACGAGACGCTTCTTGCAAGATGGCAGAACAAAAATACAGAGAGTGTCATTGAGCTGCATAATAAAACGCCGGTCTGGAACGATGACACCCAATCCTATGTTTTAAACTTCCACGGGCGAGTCACACAGGCCTCAGTGAAAAACTTCCAAATTATTCATGATAATGATCGTAAGTATAGCTCTCTGTTGGTAATGTATAGAAACAGTACTGCATACACAGCTTGACAGGGACCCTACCCCTGTGTTGGTACCTGAGGGAGTTCAGTTTAGTTATGTGGGTCCAACTTAACGCTGCTCTGCCTTGTGGTCACGACATTGATGCAAGCTGGGTGTTGGAATGCTCATGCTTTTAGGTGATTCTGCGATGTGTTATCTTAGTTTTCTCCCTTGGCTGCCCGGCTTGTGAACTGAGCAACAGCTTAGAGTCGCTTCTGCTCTTGGAGCTGCGGTGCTGCCAGACAGCAGGACCGTGGGGCGGTGTCGCTCCGCTCAAGCACTTGTATCACACAATTCTTCCTTGGTTTTTTTGTTCACTCTGGTTCCCATACGCTGCCCAGCTGGAGACGGTGGCAGTCAGACCCGTCCCACTGCACATCTGCTTTGCTGTTACTACTTTTTTTAGCATTGGCCCGATGGAACATCCAAACAACGTCAGGACTGCCTTTCACAGCGTCCCTGGGACCTCACCGATGTGCTGCTTTCTGCCAGCCACATACAGCCCCCTTGTTCCTCAGGCTGAGGTACAGTTGTGGGAGCAGGGCTAAAGATAAGTGCTCGAGTGGAGTGATGCTGCCCCGCTTTAGGCAGGCTGTGGGGAACACTGGACACTGGTGAAAGGTGCTGTGCCAGGCTCCGAGGGCAACACTGAGTTTGAAACATCGGTGTATGCATTCACTGCATTTTATAAGGTAAAACAATTGCACCTGCTTCCACAATGAAATATTTCAAACAGTGAATGAGGCTGAGATTTCCTGTTGCTGACAAAGAGTACAACAGGCAAAAAAAGCTGAGGAAGAATTTCTGAATATGATATAACAGACAGACATGATTAGGTATCGATCACAATCATGCCTTCTCTTCCCCCGTTATCCTTGCTTGTCCACTTGCCAGAAGTTAAGTAGGAACAGAATTAATTGGTTCTTGGTACATGTGAAACTCAGCGCTAGGTCTATGTAAGAGCATTGAGCATTCTATAAAAAGTGATATTCTCTCTGTGCTTGCAAAACCTACTTTTTATCCGTGTAATTTTTTTGAAGACAGTACCAAGCCTTGCAATCTTTTATCGCTCAGCTTTTCCTGACTCAATCTATCCTTGCTTCTCCCTCTGCTATCAGCACACCCACTTGCATGAATAAGTGTTGCGAAGTTTGATGAGCGAGCGTGTTTTGTTTGTATTTTCGTTGAGCTGGGCCAGAGGATGATGTTGAACGCATACTTACTTAGTAAGGGCCGCAAACAAAAGTAACGCTTTCTGACTTTTTTGTGACCTTTCTTGCAGCTGACTACATCGTGATGCAGTTTGGCCGCGTGGCTGAGGATGTGTTCACCATGGACTACAACTACCCGATGTGCGCGCTACAAGCCTTTGCTATTGCCCTTTCAAGTTTTGACAGCAAGCTGGCTTGTGAGTAAAGGGGCATGGGTGAGCATCCTCTCAAAGGAAGCAGTTTGCCATACGGTTCCCAATTCCTGCTGGTGTCGCTTACGGTCCGTACTAAACAGGCCAGGGAAAGTGCAGTTTCGGAGGACCGCTCTATTGCTGAAGAGAAAGTAAAAGGAATCTTCTAAAAATTCAGGACATTCAGGAAATAATATTTTCCTTTTTTTTTCCTGTCATATTTTTCTGGAAGTGTCATCAAGTTTGTGTAAATAGGAGTTCTATCTCATGTCCTTGATTATGTTATGGAGATGTGCCATGATGTACTGTACCGTGGCTCTAGTAGCACCATTATAACGGTGTCTTTTTTAAATCCAGAAAGGGCGTGCACGCTCAAAAAATTTCTTTTTACATTTAAGAATTATTCCGAGGCTGCAATCATACCTTGAGGTTGCGTTCCTACATCGACTAATCAGAGCTTCACATCATACAACGGAAAAGAAAGATCACAAAAAAGATGCACTTTTTTGAATTTGCAAGGATCTCATGTAGTGTAAAGCCAAGTCTGAGGGTTGAAGACCTATACTGGACTGAACTTGATGCATTGCTATTGTATATGTAGAAGGGCATGATGAGTTTTAATTGCAGTAGGAGGAAATGGAAGAGTAGAAAGCACAAAACAATGTCGCACAAGTCACTTGAATTCCAAGCTGTCATTATGTTTTAACATCTACCTGCTTTTTAATTTGTTTCAAATGAGAATGTATTTGGAGTGCGGAAAAGGAAAAGGAAAATGTCTAGATGCCAAGAAAGCATAACTTATGTTGAATTTGGCATGTCGCGTGTTGGGAATTTATATCCTTGTATTGCTGTGGTAATTCAAACACATATTTTGTATGAAGTGATATAAACAGTTGGATAAAAGGCTCTCTACAGAGAATCTTAATATTTTGAACAGGCTGTGTAAAGCTGAGGAAGGTAAATGGAAATATTTTATTAAATTTGTCTGGCCTTTTGCGATTTTACAATTTGTTGATTGCATTTTTCGAACTTTCAGCAACAACCACTTTTCATATTTATTTCCTGTTGTAAGAACGCTTGAAATCGATTGAAACTGTGTATGTTGTTCTCTAATGTAAACGTGCCAGCTACTGAGCTAAATCCTTCTAGGCAAATCTAGCGTATGCTGCATACAAATGAGACACTGGCAGGACACAGAATAGCTTAAAATAGTGTGGAGTTTTGAGGGGGGGGTCTGATTTATCTGGAATATATAAACAAACACCATTTCAAAACACAAGCAAAGAACAAGCTATTCTCTTCTCTTCTAAACATCTCAAAAGCCAAGAGCTGCACCTGAAAGCACACTGTAAAACAGCTTTAAAAATAACGAGTCTTTCTGCCATTGTTCTTTACAACATGATCCTAAACGGCACACAAAGTAATAGAATTTATATGTAGTTCACCAGAAGGGTATTGAAATGTGAGTGAAGTAGTAGTTGTGGTTTATGCTGTGTGTATTCAGATTCTCCTTTTTACTCTTTATAGACTCTTGCTTTGCACAACCAAAGATTATGAAATGAGAAAATGAGATCAAATCTGCTTGTCTCATAGCTGTCAGTCCCTTTTTGACTATAGGGGACAGGCCACAGGGAGAGGACGTGCCATTGGGACTGTATAATTTCAACTAATAAAAGAAATACGCTCTCTTCTTCACATTTCCCTTCAAGTCTCCTTCCCAGTATACAGACAAGGAAATTTCAGATAAGAGCTGGAAATCGGTAATTGCCAGCATTTTTTCTAATCTTTTTTAAAACCTATGGCAAAAAAAGTCTGCTGGCTTCAAACAGTGTTTTGTTGATGGACTCAGCCTGTCAAATGTCATCTTTAAATAACAGGAGGCTCTGTCAATTTTTTCAAATCTTTTTGCAAAAAGTCTTTCCACGCAATGGTATAAAATGGAAAGACACCTTTTGTTTGAGAGAAATGAGGAGTCGGTACCCTCGGTGAATGAACAAAACGGTGAGTCACGAGCTGCAGTGTGATACTTAGGCTTTGAACGTGGATGCTTTGTTTTCCCCTGTAGCTGGTGGTTCCCACCGCTTCACAATCTCATCTATGATCTCACTTTGAATTTTAACAGAGAGGGCCCGTATGCCTTCGATTACCTCATATCAGTCTTTAAAAACTAGCTCCAATGATAACCAGAATTTTTGGTTTAGACTACTGCAAAACCAGACAGGAATTCCCACCGCTGGTGCTAGGTGTGATGTGGATTTCAAGAACTCTGCAGCATGGGAGTCGTTGAATTCTGTGGCTCACCAGCCATACGTTTTCTTTAAAGCCTGAGAAAGCGGCACCTGACAGAGTTTTCTGCCTCTCTGCACAACACTGGGTCAAAGTGTCTTGCGGTGCAAATACACAATCTGCTGGCTTTAGTGGCGGAGTTGCTTTAGGAAGGGTTATTTTTAATGTGGATCATGACAATGGTCTGACTTCCCTTACGGCCCCACAGGGAATTGGCACAAAAGGGCAGCTCGGGTGCAGTGAGCTCCTGCCCGGGGGTGAGAACGAGCGGCTGGGGAAAGGCAGAGAGTTCAGCTTCTTGGGACAGGTTTGCTGCCAGCACATTGTGTAACTTCATTCTCACTGCCTGTTCTTCCCAGGCTAGGTATTTTTTTTAACCTGTAAGCGTGCCAGGAGGAAAGTGGTGACTTAAATTCCCATCATCTTAACAGAATCATACAGAGATATCAGCCAACGAGCTACTAAGGAAAAAACTTCCCCACCATAAATTGAGGTCACTAGAGGGGGATGTTAACCTGAGACTAAGAGGAATGAGGAGCTCTCATTAAATCTGGTTCAGTTACAATAGGATTTGCGCCTAGCAGCCGTTGCCAAAACCCTGATTCCTCGTTGAGCAAGGTACGTACTGGGTTCTTTTGATTCACTTGACCATTGCCGTCTGCTCCAAAAGCAGTTTCTTTTAATTTAGCATCTATATTATTTCTGATGGACACTTTCTGGTGAAGAGCACCACTGCATATCAATGGAAGGTGATATCACAAGTTTTCCAGCACATCTCCAAATTTTGTTTTCCTAAGTTGGTAAAGTCGCAGCAGGTTCTGTCTTAACATACAGTCATACCTGAGGTTACACAGTCCTCACAAAGTTTGATTTTCCCCC